ACATATAAAATCCATATAGCAGAGTTTCTAAGATTAAACTAAATGCTTGCAAATATAATTAATAGGTTAACATACCCTTCTGAACATGTCATGTCAGCCTCACTGTCATTTTAAGATGGAGCAGCGTCTGTCTCCAAGTCTCTCCTCTGTGTCTTAACATTTAAAAGTACACCTATTTATACCTTAGGTGTCTCCATTTTAGGGTTACCGTAGTTCATTTACTTTATTCATTTTAGGACCTCCCTTAATTTGGCAAACATACAAGGTCATAACTAAAGGGTGCATACGTCATGGAAATTTTCCTGACTTAGTTCAAGATGGCATCTTAAAGTCTGAATAGCTTATCTGTTGTTTATATTAAGACGTAAGTGCACAGTCGTGGGAGATTCCCGGGTTTGGGGAAGTTCCATTAATTTGGGGTTACCACAATATATTGTGTACTGAAAGAGTCGTAGTATAGCTTTGAAACTTGTTTATGCATTATTGTTATTGTAATTCGTCTGGGACAAAATGGCACAAACATATTATGCACTGAGGTTATTGCTTAAAGAAACAGTTATGAAAAACAATATTTTCCATTTCTAACACCTTGTCAGTTTGCAATATCTCTTAAAGACAAAGTACACAGTTTAAGAAATACAACATTTCATTCTAAAACTTGTAATATTTGCATTTGCCCATAACACCCTCTCCATTAAACTGTGGGCATTGTAGACCATTTAGTACTTAAATTAGTAAACCAAAGTTCTCCAACTGTCTAGGTTTTTTATGCTCCCAGCATCTTAGATCATTGTTGTAACAGTAAAACATCTGTAGTGTGATCTTTGCCTGTAAAGGTGGTTGATTAAAATGAGCAAAGCTTTTGTCTACGAAAGAATTGAAAAGAACACCAGGTTCCAGAGTGAGATATTCTTGGATAGATCCGGATACGAATTGTAATCCAAAGTTAAAAGTAGTAATTGTATTTGTAATCCAAAGTCTTTAAAGGCCTGTAGAAGTTTACATTCCTTAGATACATTGCTGGAGGTTGTGTTTGTAGAATACCCGGGTATTTGTTGTAGAGTATAGGTTGTAGAGTCCAGCTTTCCAAATATTTGGCTAGAATTGGTTGCAGATATTGAATCAGCATCATCTGTTATCACCGTGGTGATGGCGTTGGTATTTGTCTTTGCTTTTTTTTTATTTTGTTTTTTCCATAAAAAACATTTTCACACAGTTTATGATGTGTATAGATTGGATACTCTCCGATATTCTTTTACGGAATAAATTAATTGACACCATTTCCAAGACATTGTCTTAAGTGGCATGGATCCCGTTATAGTAAATGTTATGTTGATACAGCAATCGAAGTGGATTCTCAAGAACGCCTCTTTTTGCTGTATTGGAATCTTTGTAACATCTCAGTGATTGACATCTCACTGACATCAGGTGCTGTTGTGCTAAAAATGTTAACAGGTAAAAGCTGTGGAAAAATCTTTACATTTGTTATACTTTGTATAATAATGATGATAGATGAAATAGTAACATAGTTAATCTTTCTAGTGTTTTGTATTAAAGATAAACACCCTTGTATATGATTTAGAGATATAAGAATAATTTGAAGCAGCAAAGTATTTACCGCCTTTGTTCACAATGGTATGTAAAATTACATTCTCTTTAAATGTAAAAAATACTCTTTTATTCAAAATCTCTCAATCTATTTAGAATAGTTGCTAATTGGAAATATGACGTTAATTATATTTCTTTGACCTGTTAGGGAGAAGACAACTTATTCCCTAGTTATTAGTGGCTTAAAATACCAGAAACACCCCAAAGTTGTCTTAAAAACTTTTTTTTACCAAGATCTGACAGCCATTGTGGAAAGTCACGTTCGTGAAATTGGATGCTTAACAATGAGAATCTTAATTGTTTAAGTATATTTACCAGAGGCTTTTAGGTGTAGCTTAAGATGATTTGGATTTTTATTATTATTTCTAAAAGTGAGTTAAGAAAGCACTCAGATACAATATTGAAGGTATTTATATTTTAACACTACCTTTGTATAAGTGGTTTTATCACTTCCATAACAATAGATATCAGAATCTGTTGTAACTATTACTGGTTGAAGTGGGGGTATGTTACAATCAGAATATGAATTAATAATCATATGCATGATGTATTGATTAAACAATCAATACATGTGGCACTATCATTACCACAAGGTATATGTACCTTTAATCATCACAAACCAAATAATTTCTTGGTATTTGAGAAACTGATAAAATATGTGATTACGTGTATTTTAATATATATATATATACACAGAGTGGTATGGATGTTGAATTTATATCTTTGACATCTTTTCACCAGTTTGCAATAGGTGACCTAAATGATCAATTTCCAAAATCATCATGTATATCACCTGGACGGGTTAATCCATAATACTCTTACTTTCCATTTACTGGCCTTAGCTCTGGCAGACTGAATATTTTTATCATTATAAATAAACTTTATGATGTAAAATTTTAACTGTTGAAATATTTCACTTATATTAATTATACTACTCTGCAAACTTAAACGAATATCGAGTAGTTTCTGATTTAATAAAAACATTTAATATTTTCTTTTAAAGTTTAAAACATGCATTATTGCAGTTGTTATCATAATCATATGATCTTTAACTATCATGATTTGATTATTCATCTGGGTAATTAGCTGTTATATTAGACATACGTAGAAGAGTATATTTGTTTGTAGGCCAGACTGCAGCTGCATATGGCATTTTAGCAATAATCTTCAATTGCGTTTCAGATATTCAAAGTCTATCCACCTTTGTAATTAACACATTATGTGTTTCTTATACCATTAATTATAGTATCTGTATTATATTACACATAGTCACTGACACATTTCTGATACAGGGAAAAAAAATAGCATGATTGCTTTAGTAATTATAATTTTCGGTCCATGCACCACGTTCCTGGAAGTCCAGAATATAGCAAGAAACCTTGGTCTATGGTGCTAGGGAGCCATTTAACGTTTTGATTGGTATAGTTATACCAAAAGAGCAAGGAGTACATCGGTAGATCACATCTGCAACAGAACCATTACAGATTCCTTGTTGTATCAATGTCTCTGTGTTTATGTTTACAGGAGTTCCTTGCTTTGCAGGTATGTACATAATATGTAGAGTTTAAGAAAAGCTGCAAATCGTGCTTTAGTACAAGTGTCCCATGATGTCAGGTTGCTGGCCTTTTATATTCCATTCTCTTGGCAGGACATCTGCTCTTAGTAGGCCGGTATTGTTATTATTTATTAATTGCATCAAGGTTTCTTTCGTTGATGTGTTTCTTCCGAATTCAAATTCATATGCCACCAAATGTCATTGTAAAGTTCATTGTTACAGAATATTGTACCAGAATGTTTTTTTCACTCCAGTAGTAAAATCTATATTCCTCTTCTTCTGCTCCTTCCAATTAACCACTTTTTCTGAGTTGTAGGCAACAATCTGTGTCTTGTACTGTGAGGTGCTTTGATAGTCAATCAGGTTTTCTCAGTACCATGTTCCATCTTGAGAAACAGCTGGGTGTTGACAGTTATCAGCCTTTATTCCTTTTTCCGGTTATCTTCTGTCTGGAAACATAATAGCAAAGTCTTTTATTGCATCACCTTCATAGGTGCATCCAAAGTCTTTCACTAGCATCTGTCCCGTCTTTTCCTGTTTTCAGCATGCTTTGCCATCATCGTTGAGTCCATTATTAGGATTTGTAATAGTCCAATCACATCTTTCTCATGTATAATTGTTTTTTGGAATGATCTCACTAGGTTCCTTGTGAAATACCAGTGTGGGTCACATAAGCAATCATTTCACGGTGAGCTGTGTCTCTCCTTTTTAGATGGTTCTTGGAGGTGGTCCTCACGATCACAGAACTTGTATAGTGTGCAGTCCAATTCAGTTCAGGTGCTTCCTGCTTGTTAACATACTCCCAATGCAGTTTTAAAAACGACAGCTAGGGTTGATGTTATGATAATGCTGCAGATTGTAAGAGGGAGACACCATAACCAATTTTCTAGCATCCTTTTGCTTCCATCTTTGCATTTCTTTCTTACTGTATAAGATAATTCAGGTTCAGTCTGTTTTCTCCAGAGTCTTTCTTATAATGATGTTGATGATTCATTTTTCATACATTCCATGTTAACTGTGAATGTATCACGTCTGTCTATTCATCCTTCTTCACATTTGCAGGTTCAGATGTCAGATAATGATTCAGTCTGTTACGTGGCTATGATTCTGGTGGCATTTCTGTCGTCCTCTGTTTGATTTATCTTGCCATCTTTAACAGCATCCATTGTGTCAGTCAGTGGTTCTGTGAACGTCCTGTTAGTATTTAGCAGGTTGTAAAATATCAAAAAACTTACTGTTCTCTGTTGGCTCTGATTGTTCTCTGTAGAAAAGTTCTCGGAGTCACCCTCTCCAGGACAAACTGGCAAACAGTAAAAAAAAAGTTGGTGGTGCAAGGCGAGGTGGGCTGGAAAAAAAAAATTCCCTAAATTTCTCTAAGAGAAACAACGGTTCTAAGCTCTCCCTGGCGCAGAAATATAATTGTCAGTGAAAAACCATGTAACATTTCATATGGTGTCTCACCATTTGTATCATCAGGTATTTTGTGACTGCTCATCTGTACCTTAGGAATAAATAGATACCACTGTGTGGGGCAAGCAACTAGTAACTTGGTTAATAATCATTTAACATCAGCATTCTCCCAGACCACAACCCCACTTCTTTGGGGGTGGTTGGCGGAATGAAATACCAAAGTAACCCAAATGTGGTTGCCCAGTTTTAGGTTTCCAAATGGATGGTCCTGGGATTATCAAATGCATACTAAGGAAGTGAGACTAGAAAACATGGCATCAGAGGTTGCACTTCGCACAGGATATAGCCAAGTAAACCTGGTACATGCATCAACACATACAAAAACATATTTATAACTGAGATGTTGGCAAATAAATAAACAGTACATCAGTAATGTGGCAATAAGCAAATGGTTATGATTACTAAATACATGAATTACAGAATTTCCCATATTGGACCACCAATATTCCTTTTCAGGAGTCAGACGTACATTACCTCTCTCTATAAGAGCTTGTCCTAGCCATGAAAAAGCTTTTAGGGCAAGTCTATCTTTCCTCTATAGGAAGAACAAACAACATATTACCCTCAATGGTTATTATGTAATTAACCCCTCTATATTATAGGAGTAATTATGTGGATACCAGGTGGATAAGGTCTGGATATCCTTGCAAGCATTAACTCTGCGTCATGACAGAGATAGGGTATGCTTTTGTGATCCAGTGACCACAGAAAAGCGTTGGTAGACACATTGCATCAAAGTGCCTGTTACAGACCAACTACATGAGGAGAGGGACCATGCTTTGTTATAAGCATGTCCATACACGTATTACAATGCCAGGCTTTCAATTTGTTACCACAAAGCAAAATGCAGTTGTGGATATAAACTCATGACGTATCGTAAGAAAAACAGTTTAAACACCAGACTGAGACTCGAGATCAGTGAACAGTGGACCAAAATAGATAAATGAAATCTTATCAATTAATATACTTTCTTTAAATTACTTTATCCTCTGAATTAACTATGAAATATTAAAGTTAAAACAATAACATTTGAAAGCCAACTTTTAGTGTGGATAGGAATTACAAGGACGTTCATAATGTGAGATAAAGAACAGCTTTTTAAAACCGAATAGTCTGTGAACACAAAATGACCTTGCGCTGAAATTTCACTTGCAGGGGTAAAAACAAAACCTTTTTTCTTTTCCTTTAGTAAATTAATTAAACGTAGTTAGAACCTCCCTCAAAGTCCTGATTACTTTGCAAGTAACACGTCCTTAAGAAACACGTCCTTAAATACTGGGTAAGTCTATTAAACAGTGAAGTAGCATTTTTACCCTGTATATCATGTTGTCACAGCTATAATGTGCAGTATAACAAACTATAAGTGTCG